TTTAGCTTTAAAATCATCAAAATGTAATGGAATATTAACAAAGTATTCCATTCAATTGAATACATCAATTCATTGCATTGATAATAATGAAACTTGTGCTTATGAAACCTGTATGTGTGATAAATTAGCAGCTGAATGTTTCGAAAAAAAATTGAATAAATTCAATAATGGTTTTATAAATTTACCAAAAAAAGAATGTCGATATGAAAGTATGTTAGTTTCATAGATGAGCAATGAAAGGGACACATCAGCAAAAGAGAAAAATGGAGAAAAAGTGACCTTCGTGTGATTCGTACCCACACATTCTGCTAGCCTGACAGATGTTCTAAGCCAGTTAGACTAGAAGGACAAACTCAATCTCCGTCTAGCGTCAATGTGTCTCATCACTGACGCTAACACCTCCCCTATTGGAGAGAGCGTGTTCCCGGGTCACGACACCAAAATGTGAGGTCTCTGTATTCAAATCAACTCTTCATCAAGAGAAAAATGAGAGATTCTGCGAGGGTAACTGTCTTTTCCAAAAAGAAAACAAGAAGCAGAAAGAATGTTATTATAGATCACATTCTTTCATAAGAAAAGATTAGAGCAATAGGTGATCGCTGATAATCTTTAAACGATTTTTTTCATAGATAAAATCTACTTATTTACTGAACGTTTTGTTTTGTTAATTATTTAGAAGAAAATACAACAATAAATGGAATAACATGTGGCACAGCAAAATGGAATTTTAATGGTATAACTGTTGCAAAAGCAGAAGGACTTTATGGTATGTCTATTGATGAAAGTAATAATGTATATGTAACATATGCGAACTCTAATCTCAAATTTGTGAAAAAAAGGGCTCCAAATGCTACGAATGGAATAATAATAGGAGAATTCAGAAGACAACAATCAGTAACAAATTGGAGAGAAAATTTGGGTGATCCAACAGCTTTATTTGTAGATAATACAGGAAATTTATATGTTACAAGTAGTTTAGGACATCGTATGGATTCCATTAATAATCCATATCCACCATACGGATGGAAAAATGTCATGTCTTATTA